GCTCTCTGCCTTAAACCTTCGGCTTCCGAATTTCAAGGTGAATTAGCAGGAAATGAGGACAACTAGAAAAAACACTGGAGTCAGTCTTAAGGGCTCAGGCAAGCAGGCTGTCTCTGTCAATGTTGGGTGCCAGGAGTGGGGCGGTATCTGTCTGCCTCTTGCTCTAGCGCGCCGACTGAGAGCAAGATTTAAAGTGGGAATTTAAAATATGGCTGGGACCCCGAGCCATATTATCTCGTGAACGAAAAGGTCAGCAACTCCTCTCTTCACACTTTTACAGTGTGTGTTGTATTACAGAACAGGAGGGAAACTTCACAAAGTGGAAGGAAAGTATCACAACATCCAGAATATCGCAGGTTTTGGAGATACTCTAACAGTCACAGAATCACAAAATGGTTTGGATTGGAAACGACCTTAAAGCTCATCCCATTCCAACCCACCTACCGTGGGCAGGGATGCCTTCCACTAGACCAGGTTGCTGCCAGCCCCATCCAACCTGGCCTTGAACACCTCCAGAGATGAGGCATCCACAACTTCTCTGGGCAGCCTATGCCAATACCTCACTACTGTAATTGTAAAAAATTTTTCCATATATCCAATTCTTGGTAAAGATACTTGGTCACAGTGGCTTGTGTACATATCTGCCAAATGAATACATCATGAGTGTCCTTAGTCCTGTCTTTTTGGCAGGACATAGTAGACCTGGCATTGCATGCAGGCAGCCAGGTTCAGAAAATTAACTCAAGTGTTGCTCCAGGGTCTGTGATCTCACTGCCACCCTAATCCGTTCAGTGCCAACAGGCAGAGGGGTGTTGCAGAGTTGTACGAGTTCAGACTCTGGTGTGGAGGACTAGAGTCAGGTTGAATTCCTTTGGTTGTGTTTTACTGGGTTTTTCTCTTCCCCAGTTAGCAGCTGACATTTTTGATCTCTTGCAGACAATGAGCAGTTGGTTTAATGATTGATAGTCATGGTTATTAACCAGCAGCATTTTAGTTATTGGACTAAAACATTCTTCTGTAGAGATGCAGAAGTATAACCACCGAGAATTTTTTTTCCTTAATAAATGGAGCTGGGATTTAGA